TGTGGCCAGGTATTAAGTAAAGGAAGAATATGATAGTGGGACCAGGATAAGAGATTCAGCTCCCTGACGAAGTAGCCGGTTTGGTTCTCAGGTCTTCTTACTAGTCTAAGAGCCCTAGGAGCCTAGTGGCCATCCCGCTGATGGAGATGCATTCTTCCCTTGACTTCAGACCGTCTGCCACCCTGGACTGCTCTCACCCCTCTAGCTGCTCCCCACCCCCATCTCTTGGGTAATTCCTTTTCTCTCTCTGATATCTGACATCAGGGCTACCCTAAGCCCTGTTTTTTATTTTCTTTTCATTTCTCATTTTTTTTTCAACTCCCACTGCCTCTTCATGTGTTCCCCACGCCTCTAGTTAAAATTATGGGATTCCCCGTATGTCTTAAGGAGTGCCAGAGTGGCCCACCATAGAGTGATGGGACATATGTGGACAACTTCTGTATCATGGCACCTTGAGTGAGGGAACTGAGAGCCCCTCCTCAATTTCCTAAGTTGTCTGCAAGCAGGAGAGAGTGAAAGTTGGGGAGCATGTGGGAGTGCTACAGATGTGATTCCCCCAAGTGCATGGATTAAAGTCTCCAGAATGGCACTAACTAGGACATGGGGAAATAATAAAAAGTATAATAAAAAGGAGCTCTTTAGATCTTTGCAGGCTCTCCCTTGAAAGGGATTGTGGGAGCCTTATCTTTCTCCCACTTCCTAGCCACGAGGAGCAGTTTTGCTTGATCATGACTCCTACAGTAATGTACCGCCTCATCATGGGGCCTAAAGCAATACAGCTAATCACTCAGGAACCATGCATTCAAAATTAATTCATTTTTAAGTTGATTTTCTCAATTTTGTTGTGTTTCTGAAATGGGATCATGCTCAATAGCTCAGGCTGTTCTCAGACCTGAGATCTTGCCGTCTGGGCCTTCGAAGATGTACAGGTGCGCACTGCTGTGTCCAGCTCAAATGCTTCTCACAGTGACAAAAAACTAAATAGTACACGGTTGGGGGTGATGAGCAGACTAATATTGATGGCAAGTTTGAACTTAACAAGAAGTATATGGAGGGGATGTTGAAATTTATTTGAATTAAGGAAAATGTTATCGTGTGACATTTCCAGTGCATCTAAGTTTATGAACGTCAATTCATACCGCAACAGTTCTTAGTATTTTACTAATGGGAACACACAAATCAACAGGGCAAAACAAATGTGGTCATGTCTCAACAGGCCTGGTTCTGAGGCCGGCCAACGGGGGTGCAGGGAACTTTTCATGCAGGCATGCTGTGTTCAGTTGCTGCTTGCTCCCCATCCTCCCCTGGGATTTCATAACAAATCCTAATGTGCAGCACAGACGGTGCCCACTTCCTGTGTTCTCCCTCTGGGTGGAAGAAAGGCTGCTAATGAGGCAGAGCTCAGCTCGGATTTGTTTGATGACCAGGAAAGCTGACTCTTCAATCGGCCCCCTCCCTGTTCTGGCGCAGGCACACCTAGTCTTTTTTTTTTTTTACCCCCACACTGCTTCTTTGCAGCAGGAATTGCCCACAGATCCCCATGTGGACCCTGGGACGCCAAGGCTTGTTACGGTCGCAGATTCTGCTGCCTGTGCTTCAGGACTCGAGTGTTTGCCTGCTGGGCTGTGGCATGTAGACCTCTGCTGAGTTTGGAAATCTGGCCTCCAGTGAGGAACAGGGACAGCCTGTTCAGTGAGAGAAGAGTGCTGTTTTATTTCAACCACAGGTGCCAAAAAAGAGCGGGGTGGAGAAACCTGCTCCTTGCCTATTTGGCTATTATTATTAAGGCATGAAATCGCTTATTTTCCTCACTTTTTTAAGGGGTTAATGAGCTGAGAGCTTAAGGTTCAAATATTTTTTTTTTAATTGTTGAAACAATGATAACTTCATTAGCGACACCCGGACCCTTATTTTATTCTTCAGAACTATATGGATTCCATTTTCCTTTTTAGATTCTTTCATTTCAAGAGCTTGAAATGTTCCAAACAATGTTTTGCAGGGATTAAACAAATTTTTAACAACCCTCAAAAGGGACTTTGGAGGGCCTGTGCTGAATTCTTCAGCTCTAACCATCTTCAGCAAATGAGAGTTTCAATCCACGTTCCTTGGAGACCCCTAGGGAATGAGATACCATCTCTTCTCTAAATATATCTAACTGTGAGTTGATGATTATGGCAGAAAAGCACCAGTCAGCACAAGTTTTCCCATCTATTTTCTGTTTGCCTAACTTTATAGTTAGCTTTGCATTGCTACCAAATGAATTGATCCTAATCTAGACTGAAAAGACATGGGTGACTATTACTTTGGATCAGTGGGGAGAAATCAATAGATATTTCTTTTTCTGTATAAATAGAAATACCAAAGCCATGATGGCATTGGCTAATGCAATTTTTTTTTTTTTTTGCCTTCTAAATGCATTAGTTAGAAATGGTTTAACAATAATCGTCACAGGATAGGAACATATTCAAATTTCCCAGACTGAATGTTCTGTGCCAGTCATGGTGCTCATGGTGGTCTTTGTGTATACACCTTCCCACTCAGTTTTCTTCTTTGAGTCTCTCTGTCACGTTACCACCTCGTTTGTCTTTTTCTTTCTGGACTACATTGTCTAAGCCCTCCAATTGCACGTCACGTCAGGCTGGAAACCAAAGCTGAAAACAAGGCTGGGAAGACTAAGCTTTGCCATGTACAACAGTGCTCTGCCAGACACCCATTTGTGTGTGCCAGGGACTGAGTTCAGTTCTTAGGATGATAAAAATGCTTAAGACGCAGGTTCTGTTTCCTACAGCCTCAGAGTTTGCAGGTGACAGGCCGCTGAGCAGGGAAATGGACACATAATCACTAATGACCAAGAGGTACTACCAGAGAGTTTTATAGAGTAAAGTGGGGATGTGGAAGATGTGAGGAATGTGGACCTACGAGGTTCATCAAGGAAGGGAAGAAGTACTTGGAAGGTAGATTCATAGGCTGAGAGATTAAAAGAATGTCGCCATTAGTAATAGGTGAGGGCTGATTCCCAGCAGGTATCACAAAGAGACAAAACATACCGAATGGGGTATATTATTTCAAGGAAACTGTAAGCATCTTGGAATGAGTGGATTAGAATGTCCCTGTGGCATTGTGGGAAAAAGAAGCTAGGAGAGAAACAAGAAAAATATGGAGAGTCTTTCACTTAGCAATGAAACAAGAAAGGTCCTGTTATCATGAAAAGAATCTACTTTAACTGGCCAGCGGAAGTATATTTGACTGATCTTGAGAACAAAAATATCAATTATTTCCAACCTAAATCTTTCTAATCTGCAAAGATTTCTCACCATTCTTCACTCCATGGAAAAGTGCCTCGGGGATCCCATTTGAACACTGGGCAGATTACCTGGTCAAACATGTGTAAAAGAACTGTCCCATCCCTGAGCAAGTAATTCCAAAGTGAAAAAGTTCCTTTCCTCAAAAAGAGAAGGATCCTAGTTTGACTGGAAAAGGGTCAGATGAGCAAGACAGGCAAACACCAAGAAAGCATTTTCCTCAAAATTTCTTCTATTCTCCAAAGTTGTTTTGACTTCATTGTTTTGATTTTCAAAGTGACTTTTAATTAACAAGGATGGCCAGTGTTTTACACAACCAACTTGTGCCAAGTCATTTCGCCAAATGGAGAGAAGTCAGGGTTGAGAATACTGTTGCCCTCCCCCTAATTATCCTTTAGATAGAAAGTCCTCTAAAAGGCAGAGGAAATTTTGAATAACCCAGGCCGTTGAGCATTTGAAAAATGGCATAGTCATCACAGTCCCCAGTAACTGCCCATGACTTGGTACTTACAACTATACTCAGTCTTGGCCTTTGGTTGAGACAGAAGAAAGCCTGTGTGATTGGTCTGGACAGACCAGAGCATCTACAGAAGGCACTAGGATGTTCTTGATATACATGCGACCAGCTTGGAGGAAGCTTAGTCTCTTTTACCAGAGTTTGAACTTGGGGTGGATAATATGTGAGAGTTTAATTCACTCTTTCTCATTTCTTGACTTCCCTGGGTAAGGTTCTATTATGTATAGAGTTGTTACCCCCCATCTTGGGAAAGTTATGGGCTCAGTGATGGAAAATTTCATGTTATGGTTATCCTAATGCATTTGATGATGGTGCAATGATCAAAAAAGATGCCAGTGATGACAATTGAACGTCCCTTTGCCTTCCCAGCCTCCTTCATATATTCTCAGGCATAGGATGACAAAGGGAAGTCCACGAGTCACATGAAGAAGGACGGTAGTAGCCATGCACACGGTCAGGAGCTGCTCCGCTTGCCTCCGTTTGCCCTTCCTTGGTCACCCTCTCTTTGCCTGCTCGTGCTGTTTCTCCAGCATCTGAGCCACTGACCAGCATTCTCTCCCCATCTGAGTCCTCATGGATGACTCTCATTCAAAGCAATGATTAACCAACGAGTACTGAACAGAGTGAGTCCTCAACTAGGTGCGGAATGAAACAATGCTCTCAAGCTTTCAAAGGTAGCTAACTTTTACGGAGCCGCCTCTTAAGTGAGCTAATGCTTTGCATGTGGATAGAAGGGGCCATAAAAATTTGAGAATCACAGCAGCCTAGGTATATACCTGGGTGCCCAAGTAGTTGGATATAAGATTAAAGGTATAATCTGTCTGAGATATCATTTTGTAACTATAAAGAGCCACGTGATTTCTACCTTGGATGGATTTGTCAAGTATTAAAAGAGACAGTATATATGGCAATGTCTTGCATCGTGTCTGAGACTTGAGTAAATGCTTCCTTCCTTTTAGTCATATCTTAGAATGCTGCTAAGCTGTTCTAGGTGGCTTCTTTAGGATGACAAGTAAAAAGGGATCACTAAGCTCTGGTGGGGATGGATGTCTTAGAAGAGATGAGCAGCAGTCAGGAGAGTGACATGGTTAGGAATTTTTAAAAGAAATGATAGTTTCTATGGTTAATTTTCTTGGCTGGGGTTTAAGAGGAAATTCAAGGTTCTTGTTAATTATACTTACCAATTGGGTCTAATTGGCAAGTACCCCAAAATGAGTAAAACAAGCGGGAGTCAAGAGAGAAAAACGGCAGGCATCCTGTCAAAAAACAAAAGCTTTGAAATTTCTACAACCCAATGGTTGGATACACATTTCATTAAAGCAGATGGACCACCCGATTTGTGTAAGTCTGTGTGCATGTAAGCCACGCCACACATGCAGAGTTGTGTGAAGTATCAGACAGACTTCTTAAAACCAAACACAAGCAGATTCATAAGACCAACATGCCTTCTGCTGAAGGAAGCCTATTTTGTCCTGTTCTAGTCCAGGATAGGTATGGGAGGTGAAGGGATTAAGATACATTCATATTACATGTTTATTCCAGGGCTTAGCGTTGGTAAAACCCGAAAGTGTTGGTTGCTGGTGTATCAGGTAAACTGATAATTACACTCTTTCAGTTCTGTGTCTTCTAGGACAGGACAAGAAGCAGATTCATGCCTCTGTCTTGTTTCTTCCTTTTAGAAACATTTCTGTGATTTTTTTTAAAAAAGAAACCTTCCATTGTCAAACAATTATCTACATTAGCTGGTCACATGCTAATCTAATTGATTTGTTACTAAGCATGAACAATGTTACTTACTGAGGATTCTCATTCTGCTTTTTCTCACTCTCTCATTGGCTAGCCAGGGGAATGTCTGCCTCCCCAGTGCCCTCTCTCTCTGCCTTTAAAAGGTATCACAGTCATTTCAGTATGTCAGGTTTCCTACCAAGCTGGCTTTTCTGCCTCCCACCTGAGAAAGGCACTCAATGGTTAAGATCCTGTCTGGCGAGTTGCTCACTGGCTAAGTTAGCCAGCATTTGGCTAGGTGGCTCAAACAGCATCTGCTATCAAATATAGGCCTAAGGTAGCAAGTCTGTATTTGTCTTCCTGATGCCCTTACCCTAGAGCAGCATATAAGGGAATTCCAGACCCCAGTTCCTTAGGATTGAGCTAGACTTCTAGAGAAGCCCCAGTTTGTGGCAGTTGCTGGGACCATGGGCAAGGCAGGGATGGATGGTTGGTCAGAGGCACTGTGCCTCTTTTCATGGGTCATCACTGAGCCATTCCTTATGTCCACCTCTGATAAAACTGCGTTGTTAGAACAGTGAACACATTGAGAAAACCACAAAGCAGTATCCCTTGAAACTCAGGACGTGGGTTGCTTCCTTTAGATTCTCTACTGTTTATAAGGTAACAATCCAAAATTAACAATGTTACATTTCCCAGAGTATCCATAATTAGTGTGCTTCTGAGGATACAAATTTAGCTTACAATTGTGTGTGGCCATCAAAACACTTGTTAATACTATAAGCAAAGCTTCTAATAGATGGCAACCATACACCCCCACCCCACCCCAGGTATTTAGTGTAAGTATTGTGGCTGGAATTGAGCAATACATAAATGTATATTAAAATTAAATAAATCTGGCTTTGTTACATTGTTCCTGGAGTGAATCATGTGCTGGTATTTTCAGTTTATTCTTTCCCTAGATATATGAATGCCTCATGAAGAAAAATCTCAAAGGATGCTGTGCTAAAGGGTAGGGCAAAGAGTGGTAGGAATGTCAAGGCAAAGGGATGCATTGATTGCATCCCTGGTTGTCTTGCTATTTCCTTAATGACCCCCAGGACACAGCAGAGAGATGATGAGTGAGAAGATGGGGGGATAAAGGAATAAAGATTTTGTACTGAGACAGCATCGATTCCACAAGAGCCGTGTTGGTATATGTTGCTGAGGTGCATAGAGTTGTTTTTCCTCTGAATTCCTAGGGCATTGTACCAAACAGAGAACCATCCCTCAAACTAAGATAGTGACATGCTTGAGCAGGGAACGACAAGCTGTGTGTAGTTTGGGTTCAGGTAGAAGCTCCGTCAAGTCAATTCACTGTGAATTCAGGTAGAACCTTTGGTTTTCTCTAAGTGGCTTTTCTATAGAGAGAATGAAAGCAGTTAACTAGATGAGGCCTACAGATTGTCTATGTGTCTGTGCGGCATGTGAGTGCGCGCGCGCAGCGCGCGCGCGCGCGCGCGCGCACACACACACACACACACACACACACACACACACTCTGTACTCTTTATGTTCTCATTCTGTAGTCTCCTTTAGTTTCTCCCTAAGACTCTGTGTTAGTAAAAGGAGTGAGGCATACATGCCTCTCCTTATGAGTTTAACGACTTTTATGTTTTAAAAAACTAACTTGAATTCACATGCTCTCCATGCGTGCCGCAGAAAATTTCCCTGTGCCGTTAGAGGATAAGACTTAGGAGGAAGGAAACAGGTTTCAACTCTAGGTACTGCACTAAATTTCTGCCCATTGGAAGTGTTTGCCTGCGTGCCATGTAAGCGTGCTGCCCCCATTGTGCCTGTCAAATCTTGCTTGACAGGCATTCCCATGAATATTCTATCCAGAAATGGTTTTGTCTGAATGGCCACTGCATTTTGTATCACAAAGGGCATGGAGCTCTTGCTGTTCTATAGCACCGCCTCTGCACACACAGCCAGCCCTTAGGAGCAGGTTGGTACAGGTGTGGGCTCAGACACAGACTTCCTGGGTCTGCCACTCAGTAACGCTCTGATCTGTGGTCCAGTCCCTGGCCCCTGCACTTCCATTGGCTTACTAAGGAACCGATGAAAAATGACTGTTGTCGGGATTAAGTCAGCTAGTCCTTGTAAATGCTTTAGAGTAGCACTCGGGGAACACAAGGTTTTGTTGACTTCTTTGAAACACTAAGTTCTTCAAGCACAAAGCTATGCCTTCTGTACCTTGCAGCCCCTACAGTGCTTTATGTAGTGTGGGCACTCAGGCAAATTTGTGAAGAAAAAAGCCCCAAAGAAGCATTGTCATGGGAAAATGGAACGGCGCAATCACTGTTTGGTTTAAAATGACAGTAGGTTTTGCCACGTTTTAAAAAAGTGAAGAAATTCAGTGTACATTTTGCCTGCATAGGAAATGTCTTAAAATCATACTGAGGTAAAGAGTGTATTGGAGACACTCTGCTACGGTGAGCATATGGACAATATTGAACATGAAACATCTGCCAAACGGGCTGCAACTTAATGGGAGAGAGGGAGCTGGACTTTGGGGGTGCCCAGGAGTGTGATGACAGAGAAATGACTAGTTGTTGGGCTGCCGTATTTTCCTCTTGGTAGGGACACAGATGTAGAGTGTTTCCAGTCTCCCCTCTGTAACAGGACATCTATTTATAGTTTAGTACTGGGAACGTGTTTAGGCCATGTTGTCATCTGCCAACTCCAAAGCGGGAATATGACTTGGGCTCTGATTTTAGTTATTACTAAACACAAGCATGAAATTTGTTACACTGGCCCCATCATTTTTATAAAACCTTCATATGTGACTTAAAACTATTGTTCGTGTGTCTGTCACCAGACTCTTTTCCCTTAAGTGTCCTGAGTGGATCGTTTGCTGATTCTTTACTCCTAAGGCAAAGCCAAGACTGCATGGATCAGGGAAGAGGTATTTTGAATGCAGTGATGCAGGTTCACATTTCCTGGTCAGGTCTGATGGGGGTCACCCTAGAGCTGGGGTAGGAGAACCAGGAGAGGAGAGCTAAAGGCTACAACAATTGAAAGAACAATTTAAAAAAGACACACAACATGAGAACTACAGTAGACGGTGGTGTGCTGTAGTTAGGAATTTTGCCAAATGAGTAGGTTATGGCAATGCATCATAGGGAGGAGATAGGGAACTATGTGAGATGGTTTTATGATAAATGTGTCTTATAATTCTTCTTTGCACACCTCATACATAACACCTATTTTAAAGCATGGTGATATATATATATGTGTGTGTGTGTGTGTGTGTGTGTGTGTGTGTGTGTGTGTGTGTGTGTGTGTGCAGGAAAAGAAATTATCAAAGTCCTGTGTTACAGGGATAGGGGGACTACTTCTAAAGGCTTATTCATATCCTCTTTGGCAAAACTTGTCTCTGTTTACTGTAGAATTCAACATCAGGCTGGCTAGTCTGATGCCCACTTGACACAAGTTAGAGTCGTCTGAAAGGAGGAAAGCTCAACCGAGAAAAGGCCGCCATGAAATCCAGCTGGAGGGCATTTTCTTAATTAATAATTGATGGGGGTTAGCCCAACCCATTGTGGCTGCTGCCATCCCTGGGCTGGTGATTATGGGTTCTATAAGAAAGAAGGCTGAGCTGGGCAGTAGTGGTGCACGCCTTTAATCCCAGAACTCGGGAGGCAGAGCCAGGCGGATCTCTGTGAGTTCGAGGCCAGCCTGGTTTCCAAAGCGAGTTCCAGGAAAGGCGCAAAGCTACACAGAGAAACCCTGTCTCGAAAAACCAAAAAAAAAAAAAAAAAAAAAAAAAAACCAAAAAAAAAAAAAAAAAAAAAGGAAGGAAGGAAGAAAGAAAAAGCAAGCAAGCAAGCAGCAGGCAAACTATGAGGAGCAAGCCAGTAAGCAGCACCCTTCCATGGCCTCTACATCAGCTCCTGCCTCCAGGTTTCTGCCCTGTTTGAGTTCCTGACCTGACTTCCTTCAAGTGATATAGAAACTTAAGACAAATAAATACTTTCTTCTCCAAGTTGCTTTGGTCATGGTTTTTCATCATAGTACTAAAACCCCTGACTTAGACAAACATCAAAAAGTCTTAAAAGTAAAAAGTATAGGTATCACTTCCTATCTTTTGTCTCCTATCTGGTTCATTGTGAAGTACTATTTTTCTAGAACCCTAATTATCCTAGAATATTTAGGCCTATTGTATAAGCATATGAGTATAAAATGTCAAAATGTGATTATAGTAAGCAAACAATTGTGTTATAGAATAGACTTTTGACTTAAAAGATAACTTTAGATATCTTAAAAGATACCTCTAGGTAGCTTCCTATACAAGCCCAAATAGAACTATTTCATTATTTATAATAATTTTAGGATTTCACTACGTGTCTCTATAATTTTTTGAACTATTGAGTAATGGTTAGGTTATTTCTGTTACTGTCAACAATATTATAGCAAATATATACAGAATAAATTCCTAGTAGTGAAATTGTAGACTCAAAGGATTTGTACACTTAAAAGAAATGGCAGA